ATATCACCAAGCGCTCAATCAGTGACGTCTGAGTCTTAAGGTCGGTCAAAAATTGGGTGTCTACAGGTCTTCTTACAATATATAGGTGTTCTGAATAGTAATGCTTCTGTATTATGTGCTTTTTGCAAAATTGAAAATGAATCTGCTATTCATGTTTTATTGCATTGTCTATTTTTATGGAAGGTGTGGTCTGATTTAATGCTTTGGTAGGGGTGTTTATGGATGGTGCCAAGGACTATTAATGGCTTATTTCATTAGTGGTTAGGTTGGAATCATAAGAAACCAGTTAGGAGATTATGGAGAGCCTTGCCCTCTATTGCACTTTGGTCCATTTGGAAGTTAAGGAATGATTGTATTTTTAATGGAGTGCAGCCTTGTGGGTCTGAGTTAGGTGAGCTTATTAAGATTAGATTTGCTTTATGGGTTAAAGTTTCTTTAAAAGGGAACATGTACTCTGTCATGGATCTATTCAACAATTTGGTTCAGATTAAGGAATGCAGTTGAGGATCGCCATGGATTTAATCAACATTTTGCCTACTGAGTTGGATTCTGGACTGGTCTATCTGGTGTGTATGGTCTGATATAATCTGAGGGCTGCTACTGAGTCTGTTAGAATTTGGGCCGCTATTTATACTGATGAATGGTTTTGTTAGAATCTGAGGGCTAATATAATCTGAGGGTTGCTTCTAGGTCTGCTAGAATCAGAGGGCTGCTGTTTGGTTTGTATCTGATGAGGTCTAGTATGTAGTGGGTGCTGGTCTAGTATTTGGGTGGTCTAAAGGTGACCTGGGCTGCTGTTAGCATAAGGTGTCTCTGCTATTTTGTTTCTCTGTTGCTGCTGTCTTTGGTATATCTGTTGATGCTTTGCCGCTTCTATTAGCATAAGGTTTTCTACAGTCTTGGTATCTTTTGTTGCTATTTGTTGATGTTGTTTTTGTATCTAATAGGGTCTAGTATGTAGTGGTTGCTGGGTTTTGGTATTTTGGGTGGATTAAAAGTGACTTGGGCTGCTGTTACCATAAGGTTTTTATGCTGTCTTGTTTTCTCTGTTGCTGCTGTCTTGTGTGTATCTGTTGCTGTATTGCAGCCTCTATTGTTGTATTGTAGGTATCTGTTGGTCTCTCACCAATAGGTTCTTGGTTTGGTGCTGCCTTGTGATTGTGCGAGCTGTTTAGTGCCAACCTAGTTGGGATTGAGTTGCCTAGCTATGATGGCTTTTGCATCATCCCTTCATTTTTTGTTGGTGTTTTCTTCCTTCGTGCAAGGCTCTCCATCATTAATAAAGGTTTTTTCATTGTTGATCAAAAAGACTAATCCCTTTTTAAAAAGATATTGAAATTTTGTCACAAAATGATGGTGAAAATCTAATTGCAGAGCAATTTTTCAAACCATTAATAATTAAAAACGAAGATCAATGTTCTTCTGCACATATTTTATGTTTGATTTTGTAATTAGCTTTTCTGTTGATAAACTTAATATTCATTGAGTCATACGGTGAGACTTTTGGTAAGTGTTAAAAAATTTAACTAAAAAACATGTGTCAAATGAATTTTTAAATACTTTGTCAGTATTTTTCTAATTTTTAGTTCATTTCAGAACATGTTTAAAAAAAATCTGTAAAACTTTTGAAAGTTTTACACAATTTGTGTGGGAAATGAAAGGTCACAAAACCTGAAAATGACATACAAAGCTCTTCTCGCTTTGCAATTTTTTTTATCATATATACACATGTTAATCGATAGATATTCTTAGTTTCATTTGTTTGCATTTTGTCTGCATTTATTATGCATTTTTATGGTTTTGGGGCTGTAGTTTTGAAGGATTTAACCATATATCGGAGAATGTAAGAGAGGTTCTCTTTTTAATAATGTCACTATTTTTTAATTATTGTTATTATGCATTTTAATGGTATTGGGGTTAGTAGTTTTAAAGGATTTAACCAATATTGGAGAATGTACAAGAGCAAACTCAACATCCTCAAAAAATGTTGCAATTCCCGTCTCAAATATTGACTTATTTAATCTCTAAATAAATTAATTTAATGACAACATCTCAAGATACCTAGCACAACATTAATACCAAGTCTTTGGGTAGTGATATTAACTGTAAGTGGTATTCTTGTTGTAATGATCAAACATTGACAATAAGTTATGTCAAATAACAAATCTATCTTTTGATGGATTTATTATTCACATTAGGTTTTCTTGACAATTGGCACATGTTTATCACCACAAAATGTGTGTGTAATTCTGCCAAGTCTTAATCATGTCTTTGGACCGATAAATACCCGCATGAGATACACAGACACGAACTTCAAAACATTCCATATAAAACAATCTAGACAAGAGAGATCACTTTTGTGACATCTTGTTTGAATTGACTTACATTGAGAATGTTAGAAAATTAAATTTCCGTAGACGTTGTATGAAATTACATTAAATTTAAAGATTTCTAAATTTGTTACCCCGTATATGTTATATAATCTGCAGCAATCCCAATTATATACATATATATATTTAAACACATGATATTATCCATTTGAAAAATGAACCGCCCATCCGAATTATGTTCTATTTCCAGAAAACAAAACAGAATTTGCAGCAGAGGAAAAAACAAAAATACAAAAAACAGAATCTGATTCCAGGAAACTAAATAGGATGAATAAAAGCATATCTATTCTGATAATACACATGATATAACCGCTCTGATACCACTTGTAAACATAAATTTCAGAACATGAAACTTCATGTTTCGGATCATCTACCATGTATATCATCAAGAAAACAAGACTAAAACTTACCCGAATCCATCGATGAACGGTTAAACGGAAGCGTCTGATTGTCAATAAAACCTTTGATATTGACTATGTTATTGCCTTCTAATCCTTTCCCCTTTGGTGCCTTATGTTTCTCCTTGAGAGGATTTAGAAAAAAAAATGGCAGTGTTCTTATTTTCTTACCTTGGAAAGGAATAGGGACCATAACCTTTTAAAGGTTGTAATTGGTTTTCAAAACCGAAAGGTTGTTGAAGTTCAAAAGGAATGAAAACCAACTTTAACCATTATTGGTTTTAATTTCTATTTCTGCCCCTCATAGAAATAGAAATTACTCAACTAGTATCTACACATTAGGTGCATAACACATATGCCCTTAAGCCTATTAACTAAATTGAATCACTTAAATTGTAGGCTTCTTATAAATGATAACACCACATTTAATTATGTGGTCCCATTGAGACATTATCTAACATGTGGCTTTTAGATTTTCTGGAAAATTAACTCCAAAATATATTTCTTCATCTACTATTAGTAATTCTCTCTTTAATTCATAACATATTAGTCCTTGTTGTACTAACATTACATTACTTATCTCTAAACCTCTGGACTCCAGGTGTTACTTTTTTCAACAAAGATATCTAAAACTATTTTTCTTTTGATATAGATATGAATATGACAGTAATGGAGGGGATGAGCATAACACTACCTATCTAGTAGCTACTTCAAGTAGATTAGTGTGCTTACAAACAGACGAAAATGCCCGAATCTTTTGGGATAGCATTTGGTCTTAGGATTTACTCACCTTGCACTATTTTCTTTTCTCTTTTCTTAAAATTTTTCTGAATTTTCTCTTTTTCCTTAGTAGTGAATTATGTTTTTTTTACTTGATGACTTGCATCTTAATATGAAGTGACAAACCTTTTGGTTGTAAACTATAATAGAATAACCAATAAGAAGGATTTGCCAAAGTACATTTGATTTGATCAAAGGTAGGAGTGGCCTTTTGGGTTAAGGTTAATTTGGAGATCATTGATAATTTTTTTGTGATGCCGCTCTGTTTTTGGGGTGTAGTTGAGAAGTTGTGTACATTTGATCAAAATATGTATTTTCAAAGTATGCTGAAACAGAGCACTTTGCTCGAGCGCAACATTGGTCGCTCGAGCGAATCACTTGGTTTGCAAAAGTACTGGATGGTCCAAATCTAGGCTCGATGTTTGCTCAAGCCAAGGTGTAAGGTAAAGGCAGTCACTCCAGCGGTGACTTGGTCACTTGAGCCAACTTCAATTGTATGGAGAA